TAGTGGAGATTATCAACTTTTTCTAATTCATTGTTAGAAGACTTTCTTTTACAATATATGCTCGCTTACCTTTTAAGGAAAGAATGCCCTCCATGCCTTGGAGATAATCACTTCCAGCTAAATTGCAACGTGTTTGTTAAGTATTGTAAAGATAGTTCTAATCTGTTCACCACTGTAGCCTCAAAAAGGCTCTTCACCTAGAGAATGTGCTCCGTGAGTTGTTGGTGCAGTCACAGAACTGGAGAACAATTTTGAAAAATCACCTGAATGTACTTTCAGTAACAGTCTCATGAAAAATAACACTTTTGTTCTCAAAATGACAGTCTGAAAAACATTGAAAAAAATGTTCCACTGAGTGCCGCTTGTTAAAATACTGGTCAAATGAGTTTTCCTCTGACTGTATTCCCATTCATCTCAATTAAAAGTGGACTTTCTGGAAACGTGAGGCTCCTTGCTGTTAGACTGCTGTCCACTTCATAGGGGAAGAGCACTCCCCACGGCCATCAATGTGCTAGTGCAGACTGGGAACTTAGTTGGCAGTAGTATCCTTTGGTCTGACTTTGCTAGAACGGGTGTTTTAGCATCTGTTTTCATTCCCTACATATCACCCTTTCAGTCAATGCTAATGATTGCAGCTGTGACCCCACTATAGAGTGAAAAGAATAAAATTAGAGGACTTCTGACAAGTGCATCCCCTTTGGCTTGATGCCAGACAGAGCTGGCTATTTGTTGACCTCAAATGTCAGCTGGGACCAGGGTGAGTCCTTGTCACCCCAACTTTCTCATCCTCTGATAAGACCTAAGTCTTTTTGAGCCTGATGTGACTGTTTCAACTGCTGCAAAGCATACCTAAAAAATGGAATTGGCAATAAGCTGGCCCTTGTCTCTAGATCATTGCTCTAGCTGGGCATAGCTTTGACAAATGGTGAGGCCAATGGAATTGTTTATGGAACATTATTATACCAAAAATATTGAAACCTTAAAGATTATTTATTCTTCAGGATAAGATATATATTTGGGGGTGAAATATAAATTTGCTTGTTTAAGAGTACATTGTAGTTTCAAAGGGAAAATGTGGGCACAAGCCACCTCCCCAGGCCAGTTAATGGCAATGGGCAGATAAAGGACTAGGGAAGAGAGAAACAGGGGAACTGTCTTGTTGGTAGACAGTTTATTTCTTTCTCCTCCCTAACATAGTCTGATCTCTCCCTTACAGCACAATCAAAGTTGCAGTTTTGGTCATAGTACCAGTCATTATAGTCCCCCCGGTCCTCATCCTCATAATCCTCCCCTTCCAGTCCTCATAGTTCTCATTCCACTCTGGTTCTCATCTAGTCCTTCTCTTTCTCATAGTCCCCGCCCTCCCCTTACAGCATAGCTATACAGAAATCATGAAGGGTGGAGGTACACAAAGGTGGGTTGAACATTGTCATAACAACAAACAGACATAAAGCCACTCCTTCCAGGGGAGTTATAGAAGATTAACTCAGAGACAAAAATCTCATCTGAGGATTCAGCACTCTAGATTACTAGAAAATCGCTCAAGGGCCAGATTCCACCTAGCGTGTATGCTTTCTCCTTTCCTCAGCTAGTAATTCATTTAACCAATCATGGTAAATTTACTTCTTATAATATTTCTAGTCATTCTGTATGAACATAGTCATAGGACTGTCCTCCCATTGTTCATCGATTTTGCTCAAGTGGGCCCAGTAATGTCTCCATTGTGAGACTTGTTGTTACTGTGTTTGGCATATCAAATACGTCATGGGGAGTTTGCCAGGCTTTGCCGTGCAGGCGAGATACTCTTGGTAGCTTGCCGGGCTCTCCAAGAGGGGTGGAGGAATTGAACACAGGTTAGCCAGTCTGGCCGCATGCAAGGCAAACGCCCTACCACTGTGCTATTATAGCTCCAGCCCATGAACATAGTAAGAGATAAGAGATATATTAAGCTTAAAAGTTGGCTCTTCCTGGGGACATCTCACTATATATCCCAGACTATAGTCCTCAGGCCATGTTAGTCTTTCCTAACCCCAGTAGGGTCCTTATCCAGTTACTTCATTTGGGGTCATGACAGAGTTTGTTCCATTACTGTGCTCTTAATTTATTATACTTCTTATGGCACTTATATTGTTCCTTTCTGATGCCACAGTAGCTTACCACTTGCCCTGGGTCCAACCCGTCCCTTTGTCAGGACACTCCTTTTGGGAGTGGTAGGAAGTAAGGGCAGTTGAGGTTTAAGTTAGGTAAATATGATGGATGCCCAGGAGTAAATATTATTTGGAGTTAATTAACTCCCATGTTACAAAAGCATAGCATCAACTTTCTTCCTTTGTCTATACAAAAAGGACATTGCTAAGCCATGCAAATGACATAAAGGAAAGAGAATAGCAATATAGGATTATTCATGTTTGATGGAATTGGGTGTGCCTCGGGAGAATTGTTGTGGGAGTAACTCAATAAACCAAAGCTCCCGGCAGGAGGAGCAAGGACAACCCAATGTTATCCAACAGTACATAATCCACAGGGGCTCTCTAATAAGCCATATTACATAAGGTAATCATCCAAACATAAGCCTTACTTGATTTCTTGTTCCCTTCAGAAACTGTTCTGTCTCTGTTTCTTACTTTATAGCCCAATTTATTTAAAGAATTGTCTTTTAAGTATATGCTGCTTGCTGTCTCTTCCTCTCTCTTTCCAGCCTACTACAGTCTGTTTCTTGACTCCAACCTGTATCTATGTTCTCTGATACAAATGTACTGTCCTCTACCCTTCATATTCCTTATCTCAATGACATAAATATCAGATCCAGTGATGCATTTGTGATGCTTCCTTTCTTGCTTCATTTAATGTTTTCAAATTCTGATTCTTTCCTACCCATCTCTTAAATCCAGCTAGTCTCTCCATCCCTACAATCAATATCACCTCTTGGCTACATTATTTTAAGAGATTCTTTGTTTTTAATTTCTTGTTTTACTTTTTTTTCAACATTATATCATAGATTTAATTATTTTTAAATTTTGCCACTGTGATCCACAAAATAGTTGACAATAGAGTCAAGTGCCTGTTTTCCAATAACCAATGCCTCTGTCCTTGGTCTTGAGTTATTTTCTTTCAGTTGGCTCTTGACTTCATTGCTATCTGCTGCTCCAGAAAGTAAGCACTGTGACTTCAGGTATCATATCTGAATCTGTTTATCTACCAATCTGTTCTTAGATTATAGCACCAATTCTGTCATAAGTATTCCTGGAGTGAATTAAATATGTTACACAGACTACTACTTGAATGTAAGTTCCTTTGACTTTCACTATCAGCAACAGCAGCCATGCCTCCACCACCACCATCACCACCAAGTGATTGATTTTGCCCTATACTTTGCAGGACTCAAGGCTTACTCCTGACTCTGAGCATTTCTGGCAGTGCTCAGGGGTGTATATGTGGCACTGGGAATTGAATCAAGATTAGCTACATGCATGGCAAGTACCTTACCTGGTGTACTGTATTATCTCTCTGGCCATAGATATTTTTTATTTTGAATTACCACTTCTTCTTCCTATGACAGTCAACTGAATAGCAGGATCCGTATGTCTGCTTGACTTGAGGAAGTTGTCTGAATATCCCTCATTTACACTGACATATACTTGGTATATTTTTTGGTCTAAGGCAGAGAGAAAGATATGTGAGGATTTCAGAGAGTAGTTTTGTCTCCCTACTTTTCAAGTGATCCCTTTCCCTTTCTTTCTGTAATATGTGTGTTGTTAATGAATACCCCTTAAAATTGATTATTCCACAACTTGATATCCTCCCAAAGTAAGCATTGATTATCTCATGGATTCTATTCATGAGGAATTGGTGGCTATGTAGCTTGGTACTTGACATCAGGATCCCATACAAGTCCAGATGCAGTTTTCTCAAAGCCCATCTTGGAATGGACATGCCACTAAGCTCACACACATGGCTCCTGGCAGGCCTCCTGTTCTCAATGACTGATGACTGGAGATATCATTCCCCTATTACTTGGGCTCTTAGAGATATTCGCAGCATGGAAGCTTACTTTCCACAGATTATAGTATCTAAGAGAAAGAAAATGAGAGATGATGAATAAGAAGGAATCCAATCCAGAGTAACTTTGTAACCAAATCTCTGAAATGAAGTCCCACAACTTTTTATGGAAGTTCTGTTCACAGGAGGTTACGGGCTCTGTTCCATCCTCAGGGGTTTGAAAATTACACAATGACTCGATTACCTGGAGAAACAGATCTCTGGGGGTCAGCTGAGATAGGAGCTGCCCAGCACAAAAGAAGACTCTCTTCTTCTGAGATCAGGCACAGATTTCTCTAGGTTCTTTTAAGAATGGGGAATTCTGGGTCACATACCCATCAGGACATCAACTCCTTGCCAAACTTAACATTCAAAAGAGAGAGGGAGGTGGAGAAGGTTCTGCTAAGAATAGCTCCCAAGATGATTGTGATTTGAGTTGTTTTTGCACATTGTGCGTTGACACTGAATCATGCAGAGGACCTCAATTACTCCTATTGGCTTGCCTGAGCATCAGTTTTCTGATGACTTACATTATAGTTTCCTAATGAATAAATTAAAAATAGAACTCTATAGCATATAGATACAGAAAGGATATATTTAGACCTTGATTCTTTTTTCTTCCATCACCTCTTCTCCAACTTGTAATTGAAATCATTCTAAAACTTCTTTTGCTTTACCTTAATGTACATGTACAGTAGGGTATTTTTTATCTGATTCTGATACAAATGCTCCAGCAACAATTAAACTATATCCAAGTTTACTGAATTATGTGAAAATTCTAATACACTCTTTCTTACATCGCAAGCTATAAGAGTAAAGTAACAAAGGAGAGATTCATGGACAATAAATGGCCATCAATTTTGTCATACTTTCACATAGAACTAAGAATAAAGACTTTTGTAGAGAAAAGATAGACTTATTATATGACTTTTTCCCCCTACCTTTTGTTTCCTTTTGTACAGATTGTTTCCCAGAGAAAACTGTCCAAATCCTTATTGAAGCATGGGAACACAGCAGGGAAATCCTCCATCACGGTAAGTTCTCAGCAACCATGTGTCCTAGATTAGTGCACATATCGAGCTGGGTGGTCCACACTATAAACTTGGGAGCTAGGCTCTGGCTATGGGGAGTTAAAGCCACAACCACTAAACTATCCAATTTGATCCTTGTTTTCCTCTTCTTTCTCCATCCTGCCAATACAATTTTGACCTTTCTACCTCTGTTTGAAGCTGGATAATTTATGAATCACTTCTGTTCTGGGAGAGGAAAAGATGGAGATGGAGTTGTCCAGCACCCATAAGACTATGAAATTACCTGTTTTCAAAGTAGCAAAGCCACCAGCTCCTGGCTTTCATGGTTTTGATCATTTAAAACTTGCTCTAAAAACTTTTGGTCCAGACATGAGAGATAGATCAAAGGGATGGGTACATGCTCTGCATACAGGAGCCCAGGCTTAATTCCCTGTATTTCATGACCTCCATATACCACAGGGAGAGGCCTCTAAGCATTGAGCTCAGAGTACCCCATGAGCACCACTGGATGTGGCACAAAAAACAAAACCAAACACCTGGCCTAGCATTAGTCATGTCTCTTTTAAATAATAGTTTCAGGATATGCTACCAATTTGACAGCTTTTAGCTGCACATTATTTATGCATAACTAAAATTATTTATAATTTAGTAAAGCAAATATTCATCCTTAGTCATCCTAGTTACATATCAAGGTTTCAATACTTATATCTGCCCAGAAGCTACTATACTGGCCTGTACCATAGGTAGAACAACTCTGTCATTGCAAAAATATTCTTTACAACAATGGTGGAAGTGTTTCTAAGTAAAATCTTAACAGTTTTAGTAGAACGTTATTTGAATCTTAGATATCTATATCAGAAACATTGAGAAATGCATGAAAAGTGATTCAACCATTTAGCTCTTTGAATCTCCTAGCCTCTAAACGCCACCTACCCCACTGCCCTCAAACCACCATCACAGCACGTGTGCGCACACAGACACACACACACACACACACACGAACAATGTAGGAAAAAATACAGAAGAATCTGAACTGCTAGGGAGATAGAGAGCAAATTGCCAAGAGCAAAGTTCCTGCATTTCTTTGAACATTTCCTTTAACTTGAAAGTGATTAATTTTTCAAAATTTTTAATTTAAAAGTAGACCCAGTTTGTGAATGTCATGGTTGTTCTCCCAAGAACTTACCTGAGTTTGTTATTTGAATATTTTAAATGACCATTCATGTCAAACCTTTTTTTTGGTTGTTATATTCAATCATGAGACTGATGATGATGATGATGATGATGATGATGATGATGATGATGATCGGCTGGAGTGATAGCATAGTGGGTAGTGCATTTGTGTTGCAAGCCGCCAGCCTGGCTGAGCCAGGTTCGATTTCTCTGCCCCTCTCGGAGAGCCTGGCAAGCTACCAAGAGTATTTCACGCACATGGCAAAGCCTGGCAAGCTACCCGTGATGCATTCGATATGCCAAATACAGTAATAATTGTCACAATGGAGACGTTAGTGGGCCCACTCAAGCAAATCGATGAACAATGGGAGTACAGTGACAGTGACAATATTCAGTCATGAGAAATGATTCAAATGGTATTTATAGATACCATTTAGGCTCTGAAAAACAATGTAGACCCAATGGTCCACTCCACCAAACCATCAATACCAAGAAGATGTGGGGTTGAACCCAGAAGGTGCTCCTTTCCCAGGGGTATAAAACTTCATCTTGACCTCTTTTCTCTGAGAGATCTTGAATATTTTCTTCCTCTCCACATTTCAGAAATATTTTATCTCCCTCTTAGTTTTACATATTTATGTTTTTTTATCCCTGCCCACATGGCAGAGCCTGGCAAGCTCCCCATGGCATATTCGAGATGTCAAAAACAGTTAAAACAAGTCTCACAATGGAGACATTACTGGTGCCCACTCGAGCAAATCGATAAACAATGTGAGGACAGTGTTACAGTGCTACTCTTTTTATCTCAGGGTCAAAATTTTTGGCTTCAGTTATTTCTAGAAAATGCTTGAAAATGTTAGAAAAATACTCTAGGTTTTGAGATCATAGGTTTCATGATGAGCTTTCCAAAACTACCTGAAATAGGTCATGACATAGGTCACTCCTCAAGTGAAGTGTAAGAGATATTAAAGTGACTAGGGACAAAAGAGAAGTGAATGAAAACTGCCAAGAGGATGTCCCCTTGTTTATGTATTCCACAGTATACTTGATTTCTTACTATGTATCTAGACTTGTGTTCTTATTCCTCAGTTGCTCACACTCTTGGGGGATCTTTTCCGTCTTAGAAACACAAGTATCAATAGTTGGTGTAAAATAACTGATATGTCTAGAAGTTATCAGTCTATATAAGTAGAACAGTTGGATTTAAAGCCTGGTGATGAAGCTGATCTCAAAGACAGTGGTGATCAAAGTCAAATGAGAGCTTAGTATCCTGACATAACTAGTTTGATAAGGTAGTCCACATGTACTGATTTCTCAATACAAGGCAAAATCCTAACATTATTTACAAATAATTTCACCTCGATAAGTTTGGCACCTAGATTTATGTGATTATTATTTTTTCCACCAATTTCTGCTTTGAGATTTTGAGAACACTTAACAATTAAATAGTGGAGCTAATATAAGGGCTTCTTCATAATATTGTTTTTTCACTTATACTAAAATTGGTCAGGAGCATGTTCCGTCTCCCTTTCTCTCTCTTTCCCCTCCCTCCTTCTCTTTCCACTCTTCCCTATTCCTCTTCCCTATCCTGTCCCTCTCTCTTCCTTCGTCTCTGAAAGCTCAGGCACAAATTATTTTTGAAGAATGAGAAGTAGAACATTTATTGGATGTCCATTTCTTGATATAAATATTTACCTGTAAAGAACACAGAGAGTCATTAATTTCACATCTCCTTGTTAACTTGTTGATGTGACTCAAAACAGTGGTGATATATTACTGCTTTTCCTTTTTTTATAACTTCCCACAGGAAAAATGTCTATAATTATTTTTGTTCCACCCAGTACTGTGTAAGCTTTAAAGAAGTTCTTTTTGATTGCATTTCCAGATATTTAGCTTATACTCCACTTCTTATATTTCCTTGCTCTGCGTACATGATCTAGTGAATTTATTTCATCTGTTATCTATTCCAAGGAATTCCCCTTGCACACCTAGTAGTGGTAAAAATGACTGTTGCCATGTTATAGAAATGCATCAGTTATTATTGATTTTTGGACTCAATATGAGCTAAATATTTTTTATGAATTCCTGGGTCAAGATGTCAACAACTATCACCATTGATGTGTTGGTTTTTTTTCTTTAGGTGATTGCTGAAGAATTATCTGGCAATGATGACTATGTTGAACTTGCATTTAATGCTCGGAAATTGGATGACAAGGTAAAGTATTTGGCATTGGCCTTGTTGAAGGAAGTAATAAAGCTAACATACAGTTTAATCAGACTTCCCCCTGCAGCTGTGCTTTCTCTTTCAAGCAACATTATTAAATAGATCAAAGATTTCAGAGGGATCCACAGAGTAAGACTTCACCCCAATTGAGAAATAGTTGATGAGAAAGGAGAGGGACAATAATTAAAACCAATTTTATGATACTAAGGCTTTATTTGTTCCCTAATGCCTGTAGAAGTGCACAGGTAAAAGTTATTTAACCACACCAATAGAGATATTTCAAGGAGGAGATGTGAGAGGGAAGAAAAATGACACCTCTGTTGAAGAATTACAGAGTTGAGAGGTTTTCATGCATTATTATTTTCAACACATTTCTTTTCACATGTAACAGGGATTATTAACTGCTTTGCAGAAAAAGAAATCAATTTAAAGATGAAGTAAATTGGTAAGCAACACTCTTTATGTTACTCCAGATCCTCTGAGAAGTTCACACCAAGACAGGGTTAAATTTACAAGGTTTTATTAAGAGAGATGTCTGTGGAGGAAGGGAACCTGCAAGAGTTGATAGACCATGATTTAAATCTAACCCAAGTCATAGGGAGAAAGCTGAGTGGCAATGTCCTGGAATGCCACGCACACTAAGGAGTATTCAGAAAGATCAACAAGGAATTTTAGAGGCAAAATCAGCCATCAAGCTCTTTCCTTGTCTCCCATGCCTACTAAATAACCTTTCCTTGCTCAAGGAAGAACAGCCAATGGGAGCCTCAGTTTCATGCAAATGCGGGATGGATTTTGGAGCCCAGCCAATGAATCCTTTAAATGTCCTTTGGAAATTTTTCTGAATACCTTCTCAGAGTTCCGCTCTCTGCTAGGAGGTGGTAAGACTGAGAATCAGTTTCATGGCAGTCTTGTTTTCATCAGTATTTTATCTCACAACTTCTATTCAATCACATGCCGTGTTAGTCTCATAGATACAACAAAAGTTTTATGATCCCCACTCTCTTAAGAAAACTATGTCTTCCCAGGCTCATCAACCTTGGGATTCAATTTTCTAAGAATAAAACAGGAATGGGGAACATGACAATGCATAGCCACTTTCCCCAATATTTATTGTCATTCATTAAACTGAAAAAGAGGGGCCAGAGAGATAGTACAGTAAATCAATTCTTATCTTTCACACTGCTAACTCGAGTTAAACCCTGGCATCCCAGATGGTCTCCTAACCCCACCAGGGGTGATTCCTGAGTGTGGAGCCAGGACTAACCCCTGAGTATTGCCATGTGTGACCCCAAAAGGAAAAAAACAAAAAATAAAAGTAATGTTTCAAACAAGTCCCTGAAGACTTACACAGTGGTTTGTCTACTAGCATATCTTATTAACTTATACTCAGCCCATTTGTATATTTGTTAAATTGGTGTCTTATTTATTCACTTATTCAACTGTTCATCGTTCATTTCCTAAACCTTTGTTGTGTGTTATGCGTGAGATTGTGAAGAAAAGACTGGCTTTAAAGCACCCTTAGACTCACAACCTAGAATTCACCATTCTAAACATCTGAAATATACAGTTAAGCAGCAGATGATACTTTAGGTCTGATAGGATGTGATAAGTGATCCATAATCAAAGTGTTCTAAAAGGGGTAATTTCATTCTGCCTGGGGACTCAGGAAATACTTTATTCTTCTGAACAAACTGTATTTGATTTTTTTTTAATATCTTGAGTAGCTTCATAAACCTTTGCCTTTTGACATTGTTGAGAGCAAGGTGCTGAGAATTGCAATGTATGCTGATATCAGTTGGGGGTGAGCTTTTAACCCTCACTTCCTTATGACCATTATACTCTTTCTTATCCATTATCACCCCAAGTTTCAGAATAATTCACCAAACTTCTCTTCATTATCTTCCCTGGTGCCATTATCAGCCACTGGGTCAGTGTGTAGCAATTTTAAGCTACTCACTTAATGGCTTATAATGGCTTCTTTCCACTTAGTATTCTCTTAAGTACCTCTAATTTGTCCTCCTACTGATTTATGTTACTATGTGAGGGGATTTGGGGTTTAGTTAGCAGGTCCATTGGCTCGAAGGTGTTTGAACAGTTCCCCTTTACTCAATGAGCATTTGGCCCTGTGTGAATATGGTTCTAAAGGATCACTCCCACCCTTGCCTGTCTGATCTTCCAAGGTCCCTGCCAGTGCTGAAACTTGTGTGCCAATGCTGTACACCCTATGTCACTCATCATACCATTATATGATGGACCTATCTTAATAGCGCACAAAGTAGACTGTATTCAGAACAAAACAGAGATTCGGTTTGGCCTGGAAATGGGATTGTCTTAGGTAGAAAAAGAGCAAACTTTTAGAAATGAGCAAGGTGATACCCCGAAATCATCTGATACAAACTCTCATGCCCATGAAGGCTCAGCAGACATACTAAACCACAGGCACATAGCTAATGATTAAACCACAGACATCTGGCTAAAGCTTTTCTCTTGCTGCATAACACTCAGGCACAAAACCTAGTGACTTCAATGCTATCTGCATCATGTCATGATCTTGACGGTCAGAAATTCAGGCAGGGATCAGCTAGGCAGTTCTGCTCCTTATCATGTTGACTCAAGATATTCCAAGGTCCTTAATTCTGGGAATACTGTATGAGGAGGTCAAACTTGCCTCCCTTTGGATGATGTCTAACTCTGCGGATGATGACAAAGTTGAGTTCAACTTGGTCAGCCATCTGGTGTCCACACCCCCACAGTGGTTCTGACGTAGACATACTTCCTTCAGACTGGTTGGAGATCACCCAAAAGAACTAGGTATATACCATCTGGTCTTTTATAATCCAACCTTAGGACTTATGCATCATCCCCTCTGTTGCATTAGGTTAATGACAAATGAATCATAAATCCAACCCGGAATCAAGAAGAGGTTAGTTAGAGTCCTCATCTTGATGGAGAAATGACAAATTCATATTGTGGAAGAGCATGTGGACTGTGAACACTGTTGTTATCATTTTTAGTAAAAGACCAATGCCACAGTATCTTGTAACAGAACAAAGAATATGGTACAATTATTTAATATTTTGGTTGCAATTGTTCCCAAGTTTCTCAAGGAGACCTTCCCTCTGTTAGCAGCTGAACTTAACATATCTAGTAACTGAGAAAATATATCAAAACTAAAAGCAACAATGAGAAAATAAAGGTCTTTTTATTTAACTGAAACATTGTTAATGAACACCATGAGAGAAACTGATATCTATATACACCTGAAATTTGGAGTTTAAAGATATACTATCAGATATTCTCAGACAATGATTATGACAAGTGTGGATTCCCAGTTTCCTGGTAGGAATACTGGCACTTACCCAGGGAGCCTAATACCTCAGGGAGAAAGCCCCAGGGATAACCTAATTGCTTTCTTTTACAGAGGAGTTTCACAGATTTGAAGTTACTTATCCAAGGTCTGTCTGTTTCTATCTCTCTCTCTCTCTCTCTCTCTCTCTCTGTCTCTCTCTCTCTCTCTCTCACACACACATACACACACACACACACACAAAGACACAGGGCACACACACACAAAGACACAGGACACACACACACACACATTATCAGTGAGAGAGTGAGAGAAAGGGATTCAGTCAACTTGCCTAACTAATACCTAAACCTTTGCTCAGGGCAGAGGCTAATGAATAAAATTGAATTGGCCTCCAGATAGGAAAGACATGGCCCATGACAGCAATTTCAGAGAGGAATGGAGCCAGAGAGGAGGGAGGCAAGGGTTTGCTGCTGTCCTCAAAGTTCTCAAAGTTTCAAGACCCTTTCAGAAAAATACATGTGGTTAAAACAATTTTTAGAATAACATTTAGTCCTTATTTTTTCTTTACTCTCAATCTCTCATACACATACAATATTTTTCTAGGAATTACATGCTCTGCCTAATATAACAGAATGGATGCAGAAGCATATGTGAAAAGCCTTCTGATTTCTGTAAAGCCTGTCAGTAAAACTGATTTTTGAAGCTATAAAATAATACCAATCTTCTTGCTGATTTCTAAATTTAAAAAATAGAATCTGATTTCTATTAGAATGCTTTATCAGTTATCAGTGAGCTTATTTTCTTGTCAATAATGACACAGAAAAATATTTTGAAATTTTTTCAGTTTTAGTTAATAAAATGGTAACTATTAAATAGCTATAATCAATGTTGACCAAGGCTCTTTAGTGTTCTCATAATTTTTTTAGAACATACGGGCATCTGTGACAGAAAAGTTTTATGAGTATACATATACAGACGCACCTAACATTTTTTCAAACCACAGTTTCAGAGAAATTTCCCCCATTGTTTTGCTAGAGATTGTTGATGTTATCTTGTTTCTCCAATGCTGTTGAGCAGAATAGAGTCCTTGAAATGTACTTGAGATAAAAACTCAGAGTCCTTGAACTCTGATAGGTAGTCTTCAATAAATAAAAACTGATATAGATTAGGTAAAAGGAAAATAACCTGCTAATCTAGTATTTGCACAATCAATTTTGTAAGGGGGGGGTGCTAAACTTTCGAACTTCGAAAGCATGTTTTGCTCCAGCAGCTTGCTGGTAATTAAGCCAACAAATAGACATGAATGAATGTAATCACTTTGGAACATTCAAGCTAATAAGATATTCTTTTCCTCTCCTTTCTTGTTGTTTTTGGAGCTTATTTTCATGCTGGTGGTCTCCACATAGTAATAGGAAGCATTATAAATTGCATTTTTAGTGTACTCATGCTGCTAGTTTGAAGGGGTGGCATAAAAGCAAATAAATCTGTCTCTAAAACAGAGGTCGGTAAACTTTCTCTCTAAAGGGCCAGATGGTAAATATTTTAGGCTTTGTAGGCCATATGGTCTCTATCCCAACTACTCAGATCTGCCTCAGAAGCATGAAAAAAGCCATAGACAGTACACAAATGAATGAGCGTGGCAGTGTTCCAATAAAACTTTATTCACAAAAACAGACAGTGT